CAAAACAGCGAGTCTCCGTGCTACTTATCAAGTAGAACAATACTATTGAAGGATCCGCTAAGATAATATGCCCATAGTTTGGAAATGGAAGTTGACAGTCCTCCAGAAGCAAACCAACAAAATAAGAAGGTACATCCACCTGTAAGAATGAAATTTATCAGTGCTACAACCACAGCGTACGTGTGCAAATTCTTGTCAAAATACAAGTGAATGTCAAAAAGAGATACTTCTGGTGAGTTTTTTGGCAAATCGTTATAATGAATAAATGCAGTTATTAGAAGAGAGAAATGAAAAAGAAAAGAAACTTCAAGTTCTCAATTTATTTTTACCTTGGAGGAACAGAGTGTATGCCTCAGATTCGAAAAGTAGCCATCACAAACAATTGTAAGAGGTGCAAAAGCTTTCGATTCTTTACCAGATTTAGTCTTGTAAACTACCCCCTTAACTATTCCGTCTTCTTTAATCAAGGATGTCACAGCTCCCTGCTTCAACTGAACACTGGAAAAGAAGGGGTTGAACTTTAATTTCTTTTAAAGATATATAGAAGCAAAAAGTCTCCAAATGTATATGAAATTTAGTTTATGGAACAGTGATGATTTGCATCCTAATGATGCTTCATTGTACCAGTATTAAGAGTAACAGGAAAAAAGTTTGCCTAATCCGATGATGCTTCAGTGTGTACCAGCATCATTGTACCTAATCTGATCCATCTAATCAGCTCATTGTCGATAGCTGAATAGTATAGTATAGGAAAAGCGTTTACTGATATTGAAGATTATTTCTTTGTTACTTTTCCTTTCCAATAATTGACCTACTGATACATCCTTTTTTTTTTAAATTCAATTATTCAATTAGTAACTGAAAATTAAGCATGATGCAGGGTGCCTTGAATGCCTTACTCAAAGCTTCATATGGATTGATCATTAACAAAAGCCTCTATGAATATGTTAGCTAACAATGTTCAAGGATCAAATCCTATCATCACCACTTATCCTTTGCACAAAAAACAAAACAAGAAAAACCTTCTTTTACAGATTCGAGGTTCGACAAAGTGTTCGATCAATGTTGAACTGTTAAATTTCATAATAAACCACATGCAGCCTATTTTACGAGTTGGACTAAGTATTCAATCAATACCAAACTGCTGAATTTTATAACATCAGGTTCTTAAATGAAAAGATATCTAAAGGAAAGTTTTTGGCATCAAACAAAATCTTAGAGTTAGTAGAATTCTGTCTAAGGCTAAGTGAATGTTGCAAAAAAACAAAAAAACAAAAAAGGATAAGATGACAGCTAATCAATAGAAAATTGCTTCATATATCTCATATAAGGTATAACATCATTCAACCGAACATTATACCTATGTCTCGTATGATCGGGGAAATAGAAAAGAGTATCACTACGATAGTAGAAAGTTTCAGAATAGATGATAGATAACCTGGACAAGGACGCTGCTTTCTCTCGCAATCTTTGGATGAAACGCCCATGATGGAAGCACCTGGCAGCAACATCTACATGATACTTCTCCAGAGGTATTGAGAGTTTGGCGCTTCTCCCATTTTTGGTAAGAACATAGCCAAGGACCCGCTGAGCATCGATCTCGTCGACACAATCTACAGTGCACAAAATTAATGGACGAGTATGAAATCGCAAGCATGACGGCCAAAATTGCAGCTAATCATTCAAATATATTCTCCTACTGGTCAGCCGGGTGCCTTACCCTCGAGCCCTAGCTCAAATAAGTTTAGGCAACCTCCAGGTTGCAAGACTTCACCAACAATTGTGTCCGGCTCAGCCAAATCTCTCTCGATGACATGCACACGTCTACCATCCTGCACAATCAGAATCATGAAGCCGCTCTGTACGTTACGATTCCGGTTTACCTTTCCCTTATCAAGCTATAAATACACAGATAGCTACGTGGGTGGTGATGTTGGCATCGGCTAAAAATCCTAGTTTTGGCTGCTCTGCTAACTATTGGGAAGCTTAATGGCGAAAAAAGAAGACGGACACGTCACCTTCCCGAGGGCATAAGCAAGAGCGGAGCCGGTGACCCCGGCGCCGACGACGATAACATCGGCCCCGCCAAACCCGGCGGCTACCCTGCCGGAATCGCGCTTTCCAGCGGCCTTCCGGCCCTTCCCCCAACGTCCATGGATCCCGAGGAGGAGGAGAAACGCTAGGATCGAAGCAGCGATGACTCCCAATGGGTACATTCCCTCCATGTCCTTCTCCCACCCACTCTCTGTGTCTCGCTTCCCTGCTCCCTCCCGTCGTCGCGAACCACACATAAATAAGGAGAGGGATATCATTCGCCGCTCTTATCTTAGCCTGACGTTGGTCCGCTCTCTACTTGCTGCGGAACATGGCACGTCATTATCTTCCGCTGGGATCTTTGACCCTTGCCTTTTTTAGCCATAAAAAAGGAAGACCATTATATCGGTCATTAAAACCGTACCCACCACACTTCGGAGATCGTGTCGTCGCCAATACGGCCACGTCGCCTCCCATCTCTGATCTCAACTATCCCATTTCTCTTCAGCCATTCACGAATCATTTCACGTGTTGTCCTTCGGCCGTCAGAGCAGGCAAGACGGTGGAGGTGAGTACAATGCGGCGACTGTTCACAAGGAGCTGGTGGAGATAGCGGAATCACAGCTTTGGATGGGAGGAATAGTAGACTTGAATAGAAAGTCGAGGTCGTGTTGGATGATTGGAACATGAGAAGAGCATATGAGAAAGATGCAAAGGAATCAGAAGAACAAAGAGGAACAATTTGGAGGGTAAGAATTTTCTTCCTAGATAGAAAATTGATTATAACAAGTCACTCAATAAAACGAGTACATCCTGTTCTCTAGAGATTAGCACACAGATCCGATGGACAATCTCTCCTCCAATTACATCCGTAATCGAACACATCACAAGCAAGAATTTTGGGTTTAAATCAGGAGGAAGGGAATACAGATGGAAGCCCACACCACAAAGCATCAGAGAGCTAGCTGTGTTCATCAAACCAGACAAGAACAACTAAGAACTAGAATAAGCTCATCAAGCAGGGATTCCCACAACAGCAGGCCAGACAGAATAAGCTCATCCATCAGCTGTGCTCATCAAGCAGGGGTTCACCAGAACTGCAAACCAGAATAATAAGCTCATCCATCACCTGTGTTCATCGAGCAGGGGGATCACCATGACAGCAGACCAGAATAATAAGCTCATCCATCAGCTTTGAAAGCAACAAAAATATGAACAAAGGCAATTTACCTGCAACACATCTCAGGCACTCTAAATTAGTTCCCACCCGATGCAGAGAGGCTAAAGAATGCACAAGACAAAACAGCTAGTGTTCATATGGATGGCTGTGGATCAGTTGCAAACACTTGAAACTACTGCAAGATGACTGCATAACATTTGCAATCTGCAAAAGCTTGATCACCAAATAAAAAGCGTTCAGAGCAATATAGTAGCCTTCTCCGTGTTTGACTTGCAAAAAACACACAAAAGAGAGGAGTAGTAATCCAAGTATAGTGGTTAATGCAGGAAAAAAAAGGGAGCAGAAGACCACAGTACATAGGAGATCAATACAGGTGATTCAAATCATCACACCAAGCAATTTACCACTGCTTATCCTATTCATGGGTGGTTATTCCTACATGGACTTCGTTGCTTTATGTTGGCTTTCATAAAACAATTCCTTGACAGAATCTGTGACCAAAGAGTACTCTCTATAAATAGATTGCTTTATGTTGGCTTTCATAAAACAATTCCTTGACAGAATCTGTGACCAAAGAGTTACTCTCTATAAATAGATTGCTTTATGTTGGCTTCCATAAAACAATTACTTGAGAGACTCATTGATCGAAAGATTACTCCCTATAAGTAAGGTGTGCTCTGCAAACAACAAACAAAAGTAACTAAATCGAGGCATACTTGTATACGATCATCTCTCGTACAACTCAAATTCTATACGAAGAGGAACCTAACTTCCAGAATGATGTAGGGTAAACATCCATACCTCTATTTTTTTGTTCTCATGTCTTTTTTGCCTCGGACCATTTACTGTTCTATCATAACAGCTCCTAGTCGTTAAGGGTAAACATCCATGCCTCTATTTTTTTGTTCTCATCTGATGTCAAGTCTATCATTTTATAATTGCATCATAGGGAATACTTATCGTACAATATATTATTGAATTTTTTTTAATTAAATAAGATATATTATAAATATGATTGGATTCTGATTATCGATCGATCAATATAGAAATTTCTTAGCATATTTTATTGTTATCGATCATCGATCAATTTAGAGATATTTTATTTCATATTTTAGCATTACATTTATTATTATCTAATTTTAAAATTTAATATTAAAATTTGTATAAAATAATAAATTCTTATGTTTACTGTTACTAGTTTGGTGATGGATATATAAACACATCACTGATTGTGCTGGACACTGGAATGATTAGTCTTGAATCCTCTGGGCGTAGATTTTTCGCATGCAAACAAGCTGGTGGCAGTGACAATTTCGATATAGAGACAGATAATTTGGGAGCTTAATTCACATCATCACAGCATATGTTTTATAAGGTGTGGAAACATGTTTTGTATTCACAACACACGATTGTATACAGAGATCTCAGCATACATACATACACACACACATAGTCCCAATATACATCACATACATTCCCACGAATAAACCATGGACCATGGCAAATATGCAGAAATAAGGGGAAGAAGGTAGACACTGAGCATGGCCCCGTCCTGGCCCTCCCCATGTTCTTATTGTTTCAGTTGGGCAGGAGGATCTCTATAATATGCAGGAAAAGTAGCTGGGAAGAACGTTTGCCTAACCCCTTCTGCTTTCATGAGGGGGAGAACGATACCTGCAGCAGCCTGAAATAAAAGGAAGCAGCACAAAACGAGTCGTCAAATTCTCATAAGAACATTTAAGCAGCTAAACCAAACTAGAAACTTTCACTACTTACAGAAATCAGTCTCGCACTACCACGTAATCCCCGGACTGATGGAATTGGCAACAGTAGATGACCAACTCCATGAGTAACAGCAACAAGGAAGTGGATAACCAGATGCAGTGGGCTAGCAATAAGACCACCGATCAAAGCAGTAGAGTCACTTGAAAACCTACCTCCAAGGCTCAGACAGTCAAAATAGGCTTGTCCAATTTCCTTCCTAGCTTCATCAGGTGATGCGCTGAATAATTTGTAAAACGCATCTGCCAGCATGTTCATT